CTAAAATAAATCTTCGTAGCTGGTATGGGAAGTCTGTGCTTTTGAAACAGAAGGACCAGGATTCTACTGGCAACAATACAGGTTCACGTGCAATTTGTTTAAGTCCCGTTGTTGTATGTAGCGCAGAGTCATTATGCTATTGCCCTATAGGAGGTTGCACACTCCCCGTTTTTTTAGAAAATAAGATGTTATCTGTGGAATGGGATCAGCTGTGCCAGGGTGTGTCCCAGCACAGCTGATCAGCTTTACTGGTGGTTATAGTCATTGCCTGGGGTTGTTGTCATGCAGGGTCAGTTCCTGGGGCTTCAGGGACCCAGTCCTGCTGGACAGTGACCCCAGCTGCTGTGCCCCAAGACAGGGCATAGCAGTGAGGTACCATGGGAGTCCCTTTTAGGATTCTCAGGGCATGCAATAAGCAAACAGGTGTCCTCCCCATAAGGAATAACAAACTGTGACTACCTTTAGTAGCAGCAACATTTTTGGGCACGTGGAATGCAAAAAGGAGGAAGGATGTCTGTTTGCTTACAGCTTGTTCCTCCATAAACTTTTTTATGGTGACACAAGGGCAACATCTGTTTGCATACTTACAGCATGCCGCCAGATGCTGGTGTCCTCAGAGTGGTGCTGTAATCTACAACGTTAATGTGCAACTTCCCAACACCAATGGGAATTTTTGCTGTCTCTGTCAATGCTGCAGGACAGTTTATTAGCATACCAGGACACAAATGCAAGGTCTTCCACACAGAATGGAATTTAGGACTTTCCTCCCCAAGAGTGCCCTAACCATTAGCCTACCCAGTCAAGCTCCTTCTTACTTGCTCTCTACCTGATCCCATGACTCATGCAGTCCTGGCTGCCAAAAGGTCCAGCTTCAATAGGAAGGATAAAGTGTCCTTGCCAGTCTATTTTATATGCTGATATGGGCAGTCTCCTGGCAAGTGGGAGATGAAGGTTCAAACACTTCAAGGTGAGAGAAACCAAGAACCTACGTATCTCACTTTATTTCCCATTAAGCTACTGGGCCAAGAAGATGGACATCATCATTACTATCAATCATGGCATTTGGAATGAACTGCATATAACTATTTCACATTGAAAGCATATTAGACACGCTTTGTCTCTACTTAAGGAATCAGGGCCTTAGTCACAACCTAGACATTTCTCACAATGATCTGGATCACAACAGAGATTAAGGAGGGTTGGATGCCTAGATGTCTATGTGGCTGACTCACTAAGCACACACAGTAGCCCTAGTCTAGGCACCTAAGCAGTTTTGGAGCTGCTGCACTGGGGTTGATCTAGATTGCCCTTTGTGACTTAAGTGCCTGAATTGGGCGTTAAGTCCTGTTTAGGCTTCTACAAGGTCAACCTGGATATGGCACCAAAACACCAAGCTGTGATGTTTAGGTTTAGTGTGGTAAAAATGAAAGAAACAATTTGCCTAGGCTTTTAGATGCCAAAACTGCATGCCAGTAACTCCTTGGAGGAGGGAAAAGTTTATAATGGAAACACCAACAGGACTGATTACATAAAAGGGCTCTGAGCTTCAGACCTTGCCAGAATATAGTCAGTACTAAAAGTATTTCTTTCCCTGCAATACTTCAAATGGTCTGTAGGAAGCACTAAATACGGGATGCTTAAGAAAAAGGGAGGGTAACAATGAAGGAGCACTGATTTCCTTTGAGAAATCCTGCTATGACTGCTAAATTAAGCAGTGTTGAAAGGCGTGTGTGAAGGAGGAGTTAAATCACATTAAATTCAAATCCCTGAACAGACCATCACTTTTCTGCATTAAAACGACATACAGGGCTGAGAAGCATACACATTCAAAGGTTATTTAATTTCACACACAGTCATCTAAGAGAATGAAGAACACCCCTACCAGGAAAACGCAGCCCCCAGATGCATCATTTTCTACTGGAAACAAGCAAGCACAGAGGCAGTAGAAACAGAATAGATACTGAACAATGCTGATGCAACTAAACAAGCTAATTTAAGATACATGCGGGGATCCCCTAAACAGGAGATAACATGTTTTATGGAAAGGGTGAAGGGCATTCCACACACGCACACGCAAGCATGAACAGAGGCAACATTTTCCCAGGAATGCTCTCCTCTGATTCCTTAGATTTTATAGAATTCTTTACTCACTCCCCTCCTTGTCTTCTCTGCCAGAGTAGGATAAGTGAGGTTTTCTAGTTAACAAACAGTTTGGAAATGAACATATGGTTAAAGCTAATAAATGTGACATTTTTTACATATGAGCTAGGTACTAGATGCCAGTCTGTACTCTGCTTTCGTCTCTTCCAGTGGTGTTGCTCTACTACCAAAGCAGCAAAAGGAGCAAGGATTCTCCCCTTATTCCTGCCCCTTAATAACTGACTCTGCAAACCCCTATACAGAATCACAGAGGTACATATATGCACCTCTACAAAGCAACGTTTCCAAGGAATCTTGCTGTTTAAGTACGGCTGACTGAAGTCAGCAGGGGTTGCTCTGCACAAACCGTGGGGTGAGTGGCTTTACGTTTTGTTAGTTTAATAGCAAAAAAGCTGAACTGTTCTGTGTTGATGACCTGTAGTAACAGAGATTAATTTTCGCTAAGGAAATGCAAAACTCTTGTCTTCAGCCATACCATTACTGAACAATCATTTGAATATTTAAAAATCCCAGTGTCTATGAAATTTGCTATCAAGCGAGTGGCAGAGTCAATGTCTAGGTGCATAACCAATGATATTGTCAGTTCTGATTAATCAGCGGTCCTTGCCAGGCTTATGGCCAATTAGAATTTACCATAATAAGGAGGTGACAGCTGGTGTTGCTAAGCAACTGCTGTCTATAGAGCTAAAGGAGCCAGACACATTTAGATGTTACTGTGGATTTCGACAGAGGCATGTCAAAACAACACAAGCGTCTGCCCAGTGGAAAATTTTACAAGCAAGGACTGGGCATCAGAGTGAGAATATTTATTTTTCAGCATAAATACAAAACGGAAGATTTTTTTTTTTTGAAGAGAAGAATTTAACCAGTCAATCATTACTCTGCATTTAATTAAGAGATATTGTGTCAATGGACTAGAACTTTGTCACAGGGTAATGGTCTCCCACTGCTAGATAAATGCTGGGGCATTTATAGAAAATTAGCAGCAGGTCATTGCTGAGACATTTATTTTCAGCCAGAGGTATTTATCGGGCAATGACATTCTGTTCCAGTGACTTATTTTATTATATCAAAGGATTAAAGAATAAAAAGAGAAGGAAATGAAAAAAGGCTGAAAAGGTTTGTGTGTTGAAGTGAAAGCTGCTGACTTTGCAAGTACTGAAAAGCTAAGTTCTGATTAGGAGCCATAACCTTTTCTGCACTTCAGTCAATCAGAGCAGCTGCTTCTTGAAAATAAAAGGTTGTTTTTCTTTTCTTTTCTTTTTTTTAATTTCTACATTCTTATGAGCAAGCTGATTTCTTACTGGAGTAAATTACAGGATCAGATCAAGGCCAACTGAAATCGGCATAGCTCTACTGAAGTCAACGGACTTACCACATTTATCCAAATCCAAGACACATTCAAATTCAAAATGACCCCCTAATAATTAGATTCCATACATGGAAAATTATGTGTTACCATTTTCCTTATATAGAAGGTAATTATTGGAGGGTTCTCTTAAATTCAACTTCACCCCCCCCAACTGCTGTGGTGGGGAAAGCAGCAGCAAGGGCTGAAAGGCCAGATCTTTTCCCCTTGCGCCTCTGTCTGCCCCCTTCCACTTGCCTGTGCCTGCTGCCCCATAACTGTGCCTGACACCTGACACTTGTCCATCCTGATGTTTGCCCCTCCACCCCCTGCTCCCTGATGCTTACTTTCTGCAGCAGCTCCGGCTCAAGCTCCAGGGCAGTCAGAAGCCCTGGCACTGGCCCCAGCCCCAGCAGCAGCTCCAGACCTGGCCAGGAAGATAAGTGGGGTGGGGACAGGCAGTGCTATCTCCTTCATACTCAGCCTCAGGCAGCATACTGCAGATCTCCCCCACAATCTCCTTAGTACATCCCCCCTCCTCTACACTATGATCCACCCTGGTCTGTGGCAGGTAGTGTCTCAGCTCCATCTTCAGTCCTGGGTCAAGGGCTGAAGCTAGATCTGTGATGCCACGTGCCCCAGGCTGGTACTGAAACCTAAGATGAGGTTCCTACTCCCCACCTTTTCCCCTCCCCCATGCTGACTGGGGAAAAAACCTCTTCTTGGATTTAATTAGCACCAGTTGAGGAACTGAAATGTACTGTACATGTGTGGCATGTATCGGGGTGCAAATACTTTGGCAATACCAAATTTGTGGTTATTTACATTAGGGCTGTGCAAAATGGCACTATTCCGTTTCACCTTGAGTTTCAACGGTTCAAGGGAACAGTGTTTTGTATCGAATTTCATTTTGAGTTGAGACAACTGTTCTGTTCCATCGAAACAGAAAGGCTGTTTTGACACCATTTTGAGTTTCGCTCGGGGTGGGAAGTCAGACCAGCTGGGCTGCTTCCCAGTGCCCCCACTAGATTGTGCCGGGGACAGGAAGCAGCCCAGCTAGGCTGCTTTCTGGGGCCCTGCACTTGATCGTGCCAGAGGCAGGAGGCCCAAGAAATCAAGTGCAGGCCCTGGGAAGCAGCCCAGCTGGGCTGCCTCCTGCCCCCAGCGCAATCAAGCAGATGAGGATGTCAGATCTCATGCAGGGGATGGGAAGTCAGCCCAGCTGGACTGACTTCTCATCCCCAGCCTATGGTCGAAATGTTTCAACCAACCTTGTTTTGTTCTGAGGCTATTTCAACCAGCTTTGTTTTCTTCCGATTTTGCTGTTTCAACCTTGAAATTGGTCAAAACAGTGTCAGAATGAAATGGCCAGCAAAATTTCACACAGCCCTAATTTACATATGCTTAAAGTGCAGGCTACAAGGACAGATGTTCCCAATGGAGAAGACATGATCACTTTTAGAAGAGGATAGTTTTCCATGCTGTATCTTACCTCTTTCAGTTTTGCAGCAGTGAAGGTTGGGGTCAACATGCTCCGGACCTCCTTCCATCTTTGATCACGCAGACAGAGAATGCTGTCAACTACTGGCTTGGAAACTAGTCCTGGTGTCTAAATCAAAAAAGAAAAAAAAATACAGACGTGGGGAGTTAAACAAGTGGAATGAAAACCAATCTAGTTTCACCAAAAATTACAAGACCCTAGAATGATTCTGGTACCCTTGTGATATAATGTAACCTAACTAGTCATTTGCCTTGCAATCATTCTAGTAAAGTCAATAGATACCTAATGTGAACAACAGGATTGGGATATTGCGACAAACACTGAGCTGAAATACCAGACCGATTTTTTCTTCAGTGTATTCCTTCAAAGATACTGAACTAGCCTAACACTATATTCTCAGACACATCATGTTTTGTAATTTCTGACACTCTTCAATTGCCAACATTTTCCACAGAACCCCAGTTTCTCTGAGTATATGTCCTTCTAAAGATGGCAATTCCTTCCCTTTTAGAAATGGGTGCCAGATGCTCCCTACCAAGATCCTGATGGGTGACATGATTCTAGACTGTACTTAGTATGTCAGTCTGGTAGGTTAATTCTGGGACTCTTCAGAATATGTAACTGCAAGATATTTACTAAAGAGCTAATCAAGTCCTTCCTGAAAGCAAAATTCTACTTGTTAGGTGTGCTGTCACTGGAGTTCCCTCTGAATAATGAGGTCAGGATCAGCCCTACTATGGAAATATTTGATCAGTTATTAGACCAACAGATGCCTTTTCCCTCCTGTATGATACATTGTATTCACTCCCATTCAGAGCATGCCCACAACATCCACTAATTTGTACTGCCTAATCGACTATGGAATCCCACTAGAGAAAATTGTGCCAGTCAACTTGGAATAAAGTGGTATGGGAAGCAATGTCTGGCTTGCTACACTGCATAAGTCTTGTAAAATGTGTGAGTGTATTTTATGCTGCAAAAAGGTTTAATGTAATATTCTGAAATACCTGGCAATGCTAGACACTGTAGTAAACTAATGGCACTAATCTGACAGTGTACAGGCTGGCTATGAACACCAGTGGGTTGTCTGCCAATAGGAGTACAGAGTGAGGAGGCTATGACCCAGGTTAGGATTCATCATCCTGAGATCAAAAATAAATACATTTTAGACAGACATGGAGCACCTTATTCACATCCATACTGTTGACAGTGAAAGAGTTTTCTCAGCTCCCTTTACAAATCACTTTTAGGGTAGGCACAGACAGATAAACTAAACCAAATTAAAAGGCAGGGGGCAGTGGCAGATTATAACATATATAGGGCTCCACGGTAATAGTTTCATTTATCTGTTCCTATCTCATGGGAAATGAAAGCTAAACCAGAGTAGCACATTCCTGTTTAATTTGGAGGTAAGCTGCTCCAGCTTAGCTTTCACTTACTATAGAATAGGAATGGATACACAAAATAGCTGATGCACAGTAAGCCCAGCATCCCTACCACTTTCAACTATGTATAATTTGCACATCTATCTATTAGGCCTGTGCAAAGTGACAAGTATTCCCTTTGGATTCAGATTCGGCCAATTTGGAGGACAGTGATTTGATTCGGAGATTTGAGTCACTGTCCTGATTCAATTCAGCTCAATCAGATCCAAAATATTTGGTGCTGCTTCAGAGATTCAGACATAGACTAAACAGGCAGATGACACAGCTGCCTCCAGATGGTAAGTGTGTTCGGGTTGGCAAAGGGGAGAGGGAAGGGTCATGAGGAAGGGAGGGATTGGGGTTGGGACAAGTTGCCCAGCTGGGGTGGGGGGGACGTTACTTGGGAAGAGGGGCAGGATGTGGGCACAGCAGCACTTGGAGCAGGGGCTTTGCCCTGCTGCCGCTTGCTCAGCCAGCGCAGGGGAGGCGGGGGTGCAGTGCAGGTGCAGCTCGCTCCGGGCAGAAGTGGGGAAGTGGTAGCAAGGTAGAAACCCATTTGAAGTGCTGCCGAACCCACACCCCGAACCCCCTGTGCCAGCAGGGCAGAGCCCCCGCTTCCAGTGCTGCCATGCCTGCATCACCACTGGGAGCAGGGACTGAGCTGCCACCACTTGCCAGCTTTTAATTAGTCTCCCGATTTGATTCAAAGATTTGGTCCCCAAATCAGGCCAAATTTCCTCCTAATCAAATCAACTATTGTAGCTTCACACAGCCCTACTATCTATACCTTTAAACTAATTCTATTTTATGGTTTCCACAAAACCCTCATTTTGTCCCATGCACAGAATAGACCTGCTGTGGGAATAAATCAGAGCTGTGCACTGAGAGAGGTTGCTGTCTGTAGAACTCCTGCTTCATTTGCTGCAGATGGTGGAAGGTCTGTGCAAGGAATGAGGAGGGGGCTGCAGGGAAAAAAAGGACGATCTTGTGGTTAAGATAAATGAATGCCCTGGAGAACTGGATTATGCCCCTACCTCTGCCATCACAGAGTTCCTATTTATCAGCAGGGGAGTCCCCTAAATCAAACCTTTCCCAAGTGGCCATTTATTGCGTGTTTCCTCTCTCCTAGTTTCCAACTTGAAACCACTGTGTCCGCTTTGCAGAAACGTGAAACAGTTAACAGATGCAACTGAAGTCAACAAGAGCTTTTCTTTGAAAATGTACAGTGGACCGCTCTAAAAGCCTAGGTCCTAGGTGTACCTAAACAGCTGTGACTATTCTTTGACCATAATTTCTCCTAAGTCTCAGTTTCACGTCTGTGAAATGCACTGTGAAATGGGGATAATACCCTCCCTCAAAATAGCATAACATCAATTAATTTGTGAAGCACTCATATACAGTAGTAATGAACAGAACAAAATTAGGGGTTTGCTCATGAGATTTTGTCTCTTCAAAACAAGGTCTGATTAGCGTACCACAAATAAGATCTTGAGCCACGTGCTGAACACTAACGTTAGAACAAAAAACCTTCCAGAGTCACTC